CAGGTCGACGAGGCTCTTTACTGCAAAGTCGGCGAGGGTGAGGTAGTCTGCTGGGTGCTGGTCTACGTCGACGACCTGCTTGCCGCCAGCAGCAGCGCCATGATGCTGACGGAGCTGAGGGAGCTGCTGGAAGCCGCCTTCGAGCTGCGCGAGATCTCGCCGGTTCAGAAGTACCTCGGGCTCGAGATCGTACGCGATAGGTCGGCGGGGAAGCTGTGGCTGCACCAGCAGGGCTACGCCGACAAGCTGCGTTGGCGCTTCCTCGACGGGGAGCAGAACGGGCGCACCCCGAAGACGCCGGTCTCGGTCGGTGCCTACGCCGAGCTCACCTTCGATGACGAGGAGGCGCAGGAACGTCAGGAGGAGGAGTACCGGCAGAAGGTCGGCTCGCTGCAGTTCGCGGCGACGACGACGAGGCCGGACGTCGCCTTCGCATGCAGCAAGCTGGGGAGCGGCCTCACGGTGAGGAGCGACCAGCATTGGCACGAGGTCGATCGCTGCCTCGCCTACCTCGCCAACACACGCGACACCGCCCTGGAGTTCGGCGGTGGACCTCAGTCGCTGGAGCTGGTCGGCTACGTGGACGCCGACGACGCCGGTGACAAGCAGAACAGGATGAGCACGAGCGGCTACGTGTTCGTCTACGGAGGGGCTGCAGTCTCCTGGTCGAGCCAGCGCATCAAGTGCGCGACGCTGTCGTCGACCGAGTCGGAGTACGTGGCGGCCACTGAAGCTGGCAAGGAGGGACGCCGCCTTCGCTTCCTCCTCGCCGAGTTCCGGCAACTCGACGCCGGGAAGCCGACTGTCCTGCGTGTGGACAACAAGTCGGCCATCACGGCTGCCGAGGGCATGGGGTTGATGGGCAACCTCAAGCACATGGAGCGGCGACAGGCCTGGCTGCAGCACATGGTGAGGCGCGGGAAGTTCTCGCTGCAGTACATCCCAACCGCTGAGCAGCCGGCCGACTTCCTGACGAAGGCGCTGCACTATCCGGCCTTCAACCGGTGCTCCGTCGCAATCGGCCAAGTGCGCTTGGCCGACGTGGGCGACGGCGACAACGACGTGCAGTAGTAGGTGCCATGCCCTTTTGCATGGCTGGTGCGGTGGACGACGTGCTATGTGTTGGGTGCACGTCGACGAGCTAGTCTCCGAACTGTACTGCCGTGTGGGCTGGGTGCCCAAGCGTGAACGCGGCAGGGGAGTGTCAACGGGAGTTGTATGTTGGCCCCGTCCACGCCTGGGCGGAGCCGACTTCGTGGTCGGGTGTAGGGTGCAGCCGACCTGCAGCAGTGGGCGAGTTGGTCGACGAGGTTAGTCGACCTGCACGGGGAGCCACTGCATGGGCGCCGACTTCAGGAGGGCGCCAACTTCGTCTGGTCGACCCGGGACGCCGACCAGACCTTCTGGTCGACCTGGGACGTCGACCAGACCATCCTGGTCGACCTGGGAAGTCGACCAGCCCTTCTGGTCGACCAGGAGTGACGTCGACTTGGAGCTGGTCGACCAGGGAGTAGTGGTCGACCTGAGGAGGTCGACTTGGGGTGGTCGTCGACTTGGGAGGTCGACGGGCACGTGCAAGAGCTGCTGGTCGACGTGGTTGCCCGGTCGACTAGGTTACCTGGGTGACGAAGTGCTGCGGAGAAGTGCGACGGTCGCCCAGGCAAAGGTGGCGAGCACGACCACGGTGGTGGTATCCCGAGGTCGTCGTGGCGGACCAGAGGCAGTCGTCAGCTCGAGGTTGACGTGGAGTGTGCGCTGTGCAGGTGACGGGACTCTGCACGCCAATCAGCTACGCACACCTGCGAGGCGGGTGCACTGCTGTCCTGCGTGAGCAACGCTGGCACGCCGTCAACCTGCGACGTTGGCACGCCGTCGACCTTGCCTTGCTGGAGTGCGGTCGACCAAGTCGTGCTGGAACGCGGTCGACCAAGCTGCGCTGGCAGTTGGCCGACCTGAATGCTTGCTCTGACGTAGTCATGCTATGCCAACTTCATTGTACCAATTGTTCTGAACTTTTCCTAGTGAAACTCTTGCCAACTTTCCCCGTGAACTAGCAAGTAGTGTGTGCACAAGGAAAACGACTAAGGAACAGAGAACGCAGAGATCACACGAGCACACGTGCCTAGCCCGTAGCCTAGCTCCCGTTGCTGTAGTTATCTCCGCAGAACGTAGGTGCAGGGACCAGTACCCCCACCCCTCTGACGCCCAGCGTACCACTCACGAAGCTGCTGAGGCGGAGGGATGTCCCGCGAGCGCTGCTGCTGCTGCCGCTGCGAGCGCTGGCCACCACCACCGCCGCTACGCTGCTGGGTACCACCCCGACCAGCTCCACCTCCTCCACCACCACCGCCTCCTCCGCTGCCGCCTCCACCGCCTCCACCTCCGCCGCCTCCACCTCCGCCGCTGCCTCCACCACCACCGCTGGCACCACCACCACCGTCTCCGCCGCTGCTGCCACCACCACCACCACCCCCGCCACTAGTCCCGCCGCCACCCCCACTCCCTCCGCCGCCACCGCCGCCACCGCCACCGCCCCCTCCAGCTCCACCCGCGCCCTTGCCCCCCTTGCCCTTGCTGGAGCGACGTCTCCCACTAGGGGTAGACGCCGCGCCGACCGACTCAAGACCAAGCAGGTCGGCAGCAGCAGCAGAGGCAACAGAGGGCAGCAAGGGGGAAGGAGAGCACCCCTCAAAGATGGGGGTGCGAGGGTCACCACGAGAAGCACCTACAGCGACTATGCTCTTCTCCGCTGCAAGGAGGGCCTTCTCGAGGAGGTCGACGGTGAGGGTGGTGGGACAGACTGCGAGAAAGTGGTCCCTGACGACGCGAAGGGAGTCAGGGAGGCGCGCGACTACGTAGTAGAGAGCGATGTACATGGGGGGTGGGTTCTTAGCGCAGAACTCAGCAGGAAGGGCGGCGCGGTAGCGAGTGTCACTAGTGCGGAGGTGCGTAATGAGGTCAGCAACAGTGGGAAAGGCAGAGAGGTCAGGAAAGAGGTAGGGAAGCATGAGACGGCTCAGTGCAGCAGTGGCAGGGGAGGAGTAGCGCGCAACTACAGCGTCGTACAAGGTCTGAGCACTCTTGTACTGACTAAAGTGCGCACGCTCAGAGGTAGGGAGGTGGCGACGCACAGCAAGACGTGCAGCAGCATCGCGGGTGGCCCACTGAGAGCGGACAGTGGGATCAGCATCAGCAGCAGGAGCAGGAGAGGCGCCAGAGGTGAGGTCAAAGAGAGAAAGGTCGTCAGCCCTGTCGCACTGTAAGAACAGCTGCAGGTCGTCTAACCAGACCTCAAAATCAATGGCGCGACCCTCAGCGTCAAAAGCTAGGACACTAGGGGTAGCCATGGCGACGACAGCGACGCAGTGCAAGCAGTAGGGAAAGAGCTCGCAGTGTCAGTGGGACTGTGCTCACCAGGCAGGGCAGGTCGTGCAGCTCTGCAGAAAGGCGGCTCAGCGACCGGGCGGCTCGGGTGCACAGCGGCTCGGCTCCCGGGCGGCTCGGCGGCTGGGCGGCTCGGGCGCAGGGCGGCTCGGCTCCCGGGCGGCTCGGCTCCCGGGCGGCTCGGCGGCAGGGCGGCTCGGGTCCCGGGCGGCTCGGCTCCCGGGCGGTTCGGCTGCTGGGGCGGCTCTGCTGCTGGGGCGGCTCGGCCGGGAGATGCAGGGGCGGGGCCGTCAGGTGCAGCGGCGGGTCGACCGGTGCAGCGGCGGGCCGGCAGGTGCAGCGGCGGGGCCGTAGGGTGCAGCGGCGGGCCGACCAGGTGAGGCGGCGGGCCGTAGGGTGCAGCGGCGGGCCGTAGGGTGCAGCGGCGGGCCGGCAGGTGCAGCGGCGGGGCCGTCAGGTGAAGCGGCGGGCCGCTGGGTGCAGCGGCGGGCCGGCAGGTGCAGCGGCGGGCCGGCAGGTGCAGCGGCGGGGCCGTCAGGTGAGGCGGCGGGCCGTAGGGTGCAGCGGCGGGCCGGCAGGGCCGCGTCAGAGCCGGCGGCGGGGCCGCGTCAGTGGAGGCGGCGGGGCCGCGTCAAGCAGGCGGCGGGGCCGCGACGAAGCGGGCGGCAGGGCCGCGTCAGAGCCGGCGGCGGAGCCGCGTCAGTGGAGGCGGCGGGGCCGCGTCAAGCAGGCGGCGGGGCCGCGATCAGGAGGGGTGGCGGGGCCGCGTCTGAGGGACAGCGGGGCCGCGAGGGAAATGGCGACCCGAGGGGTCGCTAAAAAAAAAGGGCGCGCCTCGGGGCGCGCTTCGGTGGGCCCTAAAAAAAACGGTCCTAAGGAAGGACCCGCTCTATACCATGTGAAACAAGTGAACAGGAATGAGAATGACTAAGTCAGAGTTGGGTACAAATACAACCCTAGAAAGCTGTACCCCATATGTGCTACCCCACTATAGCCTACAAACATGCATCAGCTATAATACTCTGACAAGAAGCGGCGGAGGGCTCGTTGTATGTTTAAGGCTTTGATTTGTGCCGAAGGTCGGATCGCGCCCAACCCACCGTGCTCGATCTTGTTGTACAGGACCGTGTGGGTGAGGAGGCGTGTCGTTCGTCCCGCCGACTTGAACTTTGATGCGGACAGGAAGTTTCCTACCGCGTCATCCAGTGCTTTGGTAGTGGGGGAGGATGGCGGTTGGAAGCGACCTGGATACGAGAGGGCTGAATTGAGATTCTCCGAGGACAGGTTTTTCCTGCACGAGGAGGTGGCATGAAGATTAGAGAGGAGGTTGGCCGAGCGTTTAACCTTTGCCAATGTGATGTTCCAGGTGGTATCGGTGAGACCGGAACAGCCCACGGAAATACCGAGGATCCGTTCGAAATCTGAGTGTGATCGAATGGGGATATCGCCTGCGCGGGTGATAGCGGAAGGGGAGAAGTTGAAGGGAATGACAGAGCACTTAGCCCAATTGGGATGCTCGCCTGAGATTGAGGCAAAGGAGAGCAAGGCGTGAGAGGCTACACGAAGCTCATCATCCGAGTTGAGGAAGATGGTGACGTCATCCGCATAACATGCCATCAGTCGGCGTTGGGTGCGGGAAATAGGGAATCCAGGCAAGAAGCAGGAAGTATAGCGGTGGAAAATTTCTGTAACGGAGCCAGCGGGCATCCTTGCCTGACACCGGTGATGACAGGTATAGAAGGACCGCAGAAGTTATTCACGGAAATTCGGGTAGTGGTGCCTGAATGCATCAATTTGACCCAGTGGATGAAGGTGGCAGGAAGGCCGAGGTGGGAGAGGCAGGTGAAGAGGAAATCTCTGTCGACCATGTCATACGCCTTCCGAATGTCGACAGTGAGTGCAAGAAGGGGTAATGACTGTGCCGTGGCCCAGTCGAAGATGTCCAAGGTGTCATTAAGTGTGTCCCCAATCCTACGGGTCTTGATGAAGGCGGTCTGTGAGTGGTTGATGAGGGAAGGCAAAAGAGGTTGAAGGCGATTAGCCAGGCAAATCGCCAGTACCTTATAATCGGTGTTCATAAGTGTGATGGGGCGTAGGTTGTCGACCAATGTGGCGTCACTTTTTTTTGGAATGAGAACTGTCCGGCCCTGTAGCATAGACTGGGGGAGAGAGTCCTGAGTTCCAAGAAACAGAGAGTGCAGAGCGGGAGTGAAGAGAGTTCGGAAGGTTCGGAACAGCTCTCCTGAAAGACCATCCGGCCCCGGGGTTTTTCCTTTCGGGAGCGAGGCGATGGCCTTGGAAATTTCCGTGGGAGAGAAAGGGAGCGAGAGGCGGGAGAGAGCCTCAGGGGAAAGCTGGGAGGGAGGGACAAGGGACCAAAAGGAGGGATCGGGGGTCACCTTCTGAGAGCCGCCATACAGCTGCTGGAAAAAGGACGTGCACAAAGCGGACATACCGGGCAGGTCGGTGATAGTCGAGCCTGAGGGGGATTGTAGCGAGGCTATTAAAGATGCCTTGATCCTGTTGTTTACTCCGACAAGCAGGGAGGAGACGCCCATCTCTCTTGGGCCCTCTACTTTGAGCTTCGCTTTCAGCGCTAACTCGGCAGACCGGCTAGCTTCGTATCGTTCAAACTGTAGCGAGGCGATGCGAAGACGTTCCTTGGCTACTAAGTCGGTAGGGTTAACGGCAAGGTGAATCCGAAGTTGGGAAGTGAGAGTCTGCAAGTGCGAGATGGTTTTTCGGACTCGGATCTTTTCTTGCCCAGCGAAGGATTTGAATTGATTGCACAGGGCCAGCTTCCAAGGGTCCCAATCTGCCGCGGAGAGAGTCGTAGGGAGAGAGCGGCAAGCCGATCTAACAGTGAGCTCCAACTGCGGACGTTTAAGAATGGCCAGAGGGATGCGCCATGGCCGTGGGGCTATGTTAGGACTGTCGCATTGGAAGGAGCAGGAAGGGACAAGATTGTGGTCCGACACATCCTTGGAAACTGAGTAATAACTTGCGTCAAGGAGACGGGCCGCCAGAGCCTTAGAGATGTGGATGCGGTCTAAGCGGGAGGCAGAGGGAGCAGAATCCTCGTCCTGATCGCTCCTAGGGATGGCGAAAAAGGAAAACATGGTGGTAGTGGGGAAAATTTTCCGGAAAGAATCGATTAAGCCATGATTAGAGAGAATATTCGACAGCATTGTTCCTTCAGAAATTTCGTGACTGAGTAGAGGCCTATTTCGGTCTTCCGGAGCGCAAACTGCGTTGAAATCCCCGGCCAAAATAGTACCAGCTGCTGCCGTGGGGATGTCAAGTGCTGGGGCGAAGATAGCACGCCACCACTGCCTGCGGAGGGTGACCGTGCAGGGGGGCATAGATCGCAATGATGCGAAACTGCTCTTGCAGGAAGTTGACGTGGATCGAGAGTAAACGGCCGTCAGGGGAGGGGTCGATAGAAGATATAGAGATATTTTTGTTGAACACTAGAATAGCAATACCTCCTGGTTTAGCTTTATCGGTATAAGGCGGCGGGCATTGGGCGTGAGAAGATGGTCTGAAGGACAGGAGGAGACGGGGGAAGTTGATTGTGAGCCTGGTGTCGACTAAAATTAATATGTCAACTTTTCGATCACTGTTAGACAGCCATGAGCGGAGATCATACATTTTCTGCATTTTATTGAGACCGTTGACATTAATGCAGCGGATGGTAAGGGGGATCAACATTGTGAACTGTGTTGAGCCCTCACATGCGCAGGCATGTGCATCCACAGGGCGTGGTAGAGAAAGAATGAAGAAGCTGAGCAGGCACAGGGGCGAGCCAGCGCGATTGAGTACTTTTGCAGGAGATACAACGTGAGAGCAAGGCAAAAGTTCAGGCTATGAGGTACATAGTGCCACTGGCAGGCTAGACATGCGCGAGCAAAAGCCCGGCCATCCAAGGAGGCATCTACTGCAGGAATGCAGTGATGCGGGGGTGCTGCAACAGCGTAGTGACCCTCCAGGCCCCATATTTCTCTTTGACAGCCGGCAGGTGAGCCGAGTCCTGCAGGTGCTTGCGGTGAGCATCGGAGGCGAGGTGGTGCATGGCACTGTCCAAGGCCAAGCCACACTCGAACTCGCACAAGGAGCACGTCCAGACTTCGACGTCCAGGTCGATCCCAATCAGGAGAAGGCCTGGGTCCTTCTTGAAAGCTGCGGGGGCGGGCTGCTGGCCAATCAGCCGACCTGTGAGAAGGAGGAGGAAATAGTGAAGAGTCGCAAGTAGTAAGGTAAGCCAGAAAAAAAGGCCGAGCAGATTGGGGTGTTGAAGAAGGGGAAGCCAGGCGTAGGATCCGGGGATGACAGGAAGAGAGGACATTGTCGAGGTTGATATGGAAAAGGGCGAAACGTAAGGGGGGCGGAGAACGCAACAGGCATCGTGACAAGAGAGATAAATTTGTGACCGTACCGTTGACAGATTGCAGCTGGGCCACCGAGATGGTGTGGCGGTTCGGGAGGCGCGCACGGCGGGTGAGAGCGAAGCACGCGTGATCGTACACGCGGTGATTGCTGGAGCATACGGAGCAGGAGTGGGATGAGATGTTGAGAAGCACAGGGTCCTCCTGGCCCGGAAGCCAAAGGACCGCAGGGATACGGTCGAAGCCTGCATCACCATCTGCTGCCACGGGAAGACCGAGCAGCTGAGAGTACGCCGAGTCGTCGTAAGGATCCTTGAGACGGTGAAACAGGCGAAGGTCAAAGAGCCAAGGCAATCCTGCCTCGGTCGTTCCCGCAAGAAGTGTGCTGCGCATGCGCTCAGGAGAGTACCCCAGCGGAACATTGCGGAGGACCACGTAGGTGTCGCCCCTGGCACGAGCCGTCGTGAACTCCTGATTGGGATCAGAGAAAACCTTGACTTCCATCGCACGGTTGTTAGCCAGACGAACCGTGACCGGGAAGAGGCTGCGAAAGATTCTAGCGTCATTAGCAGAGGGCCAAGAGAAGGTATGCCTGGAATACGTATGGCGGGGAAGCCGCAAGGCCTCACCAGCCGCAGATTCAAACGAGGGGATGACACCGTTAAAAGCCTGACCGTTGATGAGGGCTGAGATACGCGTAAGCACCGCGGCACGAACCTCCTCCGAAGAAGCCTCGGGGAAAATCACGTCCACCATTGACTGCGTGTTGCGCGTCAGAGCATGCAGAACCGCGCCGACCGACGTGCGATGGCGACGCAGGTTCCGATAGCGAGCATGGGGAGCAAGGCCAGTGATCGCGCCAGCAGCAGCATGGTCTGTTTCAGGTTCCGGCTGTACGGGCCGAGAGCGAGAAGCAGGCGCCGGGCGAGGCGCAGAGGGAGCAGGTGTACGACCAGACGCAGAGGCCGTGGCAGCAGAGCTGCCGGAGGAGCTCGCGCGGGGAACCGGAGGAGGGGCCGAAAGGAGCGCGGAGGCAGTGCCTGAGGTACCAGCAGCCGAGGATTGCCCCTCACTGCATAGCTTCTTCGCCGCAGGTTCTCCCGAAGGAAGCGGCTGAGCACTGACAGGAGCTGACGGCGCAGCGTTTTCGCGGAGATCGGGCAGAGCTCCGTCGGGGAGATCTTCGAGGAACTCATCCCCCAGCTCGTCAAGTGTATCGTCTCCGACGGGAAGCTGGCCTTCCGCCATGACGTGGTCGGGATTGTGCTATGTAGCCATGGTAGCGAGAGGTGATCGTAATGAGGCCAACGGCCTGATTTTATGCCAGAAGCGAGGGAGGGAGGAGAAGGCCGTCGAATCGGCAATCAAGAAGCAGCACAAGGGCCAAAGCCCGGATCGCTCACTGAGAGCAAAGGGGCGATTCGAGAGAAAAAAGGTGCCTTGGCAATGGCCGTGGCAACCATGAGAACATGACTGGGAGCCAGATCGGCTACCCGAGTCGGAAAGAAAGGCATGTGAGGAGGCTGGCAATACCAGGCCACCACGGGGGTTTGCGAGGTGGTCGTGAGGTGGAACAGGTAATCCAGGGTCTGGAGGACGAAGCAGACCCGCCGTAAGGGCCTTGCATGAGAGAAAGCATCCACTGGTGGTCCGATCTGACTCACAGACGACATAGATAGTGAGGTCTTCAGGATAAGCAATCAAATTCCATAATTCGAGCGAAGGACAGCCTTCTTTTAAGGTCAAGACGCAGCCTTTGCTGAAATGGCGAACTGTGACAGCACACAAAACCGGAGTTAGCGCCAACAACTTGCAACCCCAGCTCACCTTTCCCAGGATGTCGGAGTAGAGAAGGCGAAGCAGAAATCGAGACACCAAGAACCTGCGCACAGTTCCTTCGTTATTGTACAAGAAACATGGCTCACCTTCAAGAGGATCGTTCCGAAAAGAAAACCGAACGCAAAGAGCGTTATCATCGTAGCGATCCAAAGGCGTTGAAGGTAAACGGGAGCTAGTGCAAACGAGGACAAGTAACAGCAGGGAAGCGGAGAGCTTCATTGGCAGCATGTCCGTGGTTGGGATCATCCAAGATGCCTCTTCAATCGCTGACGGACATGAAGGGGTGGTATTCACAGCTGCTGCTGCGTGTGGTGAAAGAAGACAACCAACTTCGAGACAACCAACTGTTTTGCAAGGTTGATCGAAACTTGCAAAACAGAATAGCTTTGATGACTGGTAGGCTCGAAACTTGGCTGGAAAAGCTCAACAGAGCTGCTGGACTTGGCTTGATGAGAGAAAACTTCACTATGATCAAGATTAACAAGCCCACTAAAGCACAACTTCTTAAGCATTACAAACATGCAGATTGATAGCTCAAACTAGGCTGCTAGACAAGGCAACTTCCTTGGGAACTTGGGCACAATTCAGATTCCATGAACCTTGAGTGACTTGAGAGCCACATGAGGTGCATGAATAAGAAATCTCTGGAATGTACTGTTATAGCTGATTCTGTTTTGTAAAAACCTGTAGAAACTGTCGACCCTTCTGTTTGAGAGCAATCCCGAACTGTATCGAGTCTTCGGCTGCAATCTGATTTGCTGCGGAAGTTTCTGAATTTTCGCGAAGCCTTCAATCCGTCGCCGACATTCTTGCTGCTCCTTGTGTGCAAAGGGCTGGGGCGGCAGAGACTCGATTCTCCAACATAGACAAGATGCCTCTTCAAGCGCTGACGGACATGAAGGGGTGGTATTCACAGCTGCTGCTGCGTGTGGTGAAAGAAGAAATGCGAGGCCAGGGACAATCTCAAACCTGATATCTGCTCAAGATTGCTGAACGACGCAGCTGAAGTGTTACTGTTACGAGTGCAATTGAGTAAACTAACTAGAATTGCACTATCGAAGCAAGAATACAATGAGCGAAGGCATGAGCGAAGAATATATAGCGAAACTACAGTGGTAACGGTACTGGACTGTGGTTGTCGCGTGACGGGCCTAGGACTGAGGTTGGGAAAAGTGTCGAAGCGGAGGCCCGGAGCGCGGGTTACCCGCCGAGCCGTGAGGTCGGGGTGCGACGTGCGAAGGTGGCGGGAGGATTGTTGATGCGAGAGTTGCGAGTGGTAATGGTGCTGACTGTGGGGCTACAATGGTGTACGCGCTGAGCGGGGACGCGAAGTAAGGAAAAGGAGTTTTCCTTACACTACCCCCCTCCCCTAAGGAGGTCCTCCTTACGAAAGTGCGTATACATCCCTGACGTTTCGGTTGCGCGGATACTCGGTGAGGACGGGGTGGTTTTCGATTCTGTCCAGGGGAACCCAGTTGTCTTCGGTGGGTGTATGGTCTTTCCAGCGGATCAGGAACTCGATCCTTCGAGCTCCTCGAGGGTCACGAACTCGGTGGCTCAGGATTTTTTCGGGGTTGATGATTGGTTCAGTTGGCGGACGTGTAATGCTGGCTGGGCGAGTGCGTGGCAGTTGGCCCGTGGGCGGGACGTAAGGGCGAAGCAGGCTGACGTGGAATGAGGGGTTGACGTACCAGTCAGCAGGGAGGAGGAGGTGGGCGGTGACGGGTGTGATCATGTGGCTGATGCGAAATGGTCCACAGTATCGGGGGCGGAGTTTTGGGGTGATGGGCAGGCGGAGGTTCTGGGTGTCAAGTAAAACCAGGTCGTCGGGCTGGTAAGTGACAGGTCTGCGGTGACGGTCGGCGTTACGTTTAGCGATGATGTTGGATTTTTTTATTGCATCTGCTGCCTGGGTCCGTGCTGCTTGTAATATTTCGGCAAACTGTTGTGCTCGTGGCACTGGGTTGTCGGGATTCGGGGTCATGGGTACTGTTGGGTCTTGTCCGTAATTTAGGTAAAATGGTGACTGTTGGGTCGTGGCGGATGGCGAGTTGTTGTACGCGAATTCGATGAGTGGCAGTTGCTGTTCCCACGTGGTCGGGTCATCGCACGTGGCCCTGATGAGCCGTTCCATGGTCTGATTTGTCCGTTCTGTCTGTCCGTCGGTTTCGGGGTGGTATGATGAACTGAACTGCAGTCGCGTGCCGAACTGCTGCCACAAGTTCCGCCAGAAGTTGCTGGCGAATGTCGTGTCGCGGTCGCAGATTATTGCTGCTGGTATCCCGTGAAGTCGAACAACGGTGAAGATGAAGAGTCGTGCTGTTTCTTCGGCTGTGATTGATTTTTTGCAGGCTGCAAAATGTGTCATTTTCGTCAGTCGATCGACGACGACCAGGATGGCGTCGTTCCCACTCGCCCCGGCCGGTAACCCCGTGACGAAGTCCATCGTCACCTGCTGCCAAGCACGCTCTAGAGGTGGTATCGGCTGCAACTGTCCTGCCGACCGCTGCCTTGATGATTTAATAAGCTGACAAGTGGGAGACGATGCCACGTGTCGTTGTACATCGGTCAACATTTCGGGCCAGTAATAATACCGCTGCAGCTGCTGCCGTGTTTTTTCTACTCCGAAATGCCCCGAGGTAACTCCGTCATGTGCCTCCTGTAACAGTAATTCCCGTAGCAGTGTGTACCCAGGCACCCAAATGCGGTTAGTCCTGGCTTTTACGTAATAGACTCCCCTTGCTGCTGCGAACTGCTGCAAATTTCCTCCTGTGAAGAAATGGTCCGTTTGGTACCCGTGGATAAATAGGCCTGTCAGTAGTGGGCTTGTCTGGGCGAGTAGTATTGCGTGGATCTGGGCAGTGGGGCGGGTCAGTGCGTCGGCGATGTTCGAGGCTCCCTTTTTGTAGGTGACCGTGTAGTGAAAATTTGACTCGAGGAAGTCGAGCCAGCGAATCTGTCGTGGGTTGAGGTGTGGCTGTGCGCGGAGGTACTGTAGTGATTTATGGTCTGTCCGTATTGTCACGTCTGCGCCGGTCAAGTAACAGCGCCACACTTTGAATGCGTGCACGATCGCAAGCATTTCGCGGTCGTGTATCGGGTAATTTTTCTCGGGCGGATGCAATTTTCGTGACTCGTATGCGATGGGCTGTAGGCCGTTGCCGAAGTCCTGTAGCAGTACGGCTCCGATGGTGATGTCGCTGGCGTCAGTAACTACTTCGAATGGGCGGTGTGGGTCAGCGATGCGCAGGACGGGCGGTGAACAGAGAACAGTTTTCAGGGCAGAGAAGGCAGCCTGCTCTTTCTCCCCCCACGTAAAAACGACCCCCTTCCGTAATAAGTCCGTTAGTGGCGCCGTCAACCGTGCCATGTCGGGGACGAACCGGCGCACGTAGTTTACGAACCCTAAGAAACTTTGCAGTTCCGTAATATTCGTAGGGGGGTGCTGTGAAAGTAAGCGGTAGGATTAGGAGCCATAGCTAGGAGAGTCCGAGCTAGACAGGAGAAAGTTTAGGCAAAGAAGGAGGATTGCACTAGCAAGAATGAGAATACAAATAGCAAACCCTAGAAGGGCTGTACTCGCTATAGAGCACCCCACTACAGGCTAGAGCATAACATTCTGACACACCCCCACAGCCAAAGTGGGGTGTAATCAGCAGAGCAAGCAAAGCAGAACTGTCAGAATCCCAACCACTAGACCATTGGGATAAAAGGGCTTGTTAAGTAGCGAGTCAGAGTGCGCCCATAACCCCCCAGGCAAACGCGCCTGTAACCCCCCGTAGGATCAATCGGGCATCCACTGTGCAGATCTACTGACACCCCCCCACACTGGGAGGCCCGGGACTGAGCACAGCAACGGCCTACATGTGCATACACCGGGATTCGAACCCGAGACCACTCTGACACCATGTCAGAATCCCAGTCAGTAGACCATTGGGATAGAAGGGCTTGTTTCAGTAGCGGGTCAGTGCGCCCATAACCCCCCACGCGAACACGCCTGTATGAGAAGATTGAAACGAGAAATGAATGAACTATGAATGAACTGAGTACAAGTACTAACCCTAATTGGGTTGTACCCCTTGTGGGCTACCCCACTATAGCCTACACAATAAGCACAAGCTATATGTTTTGACACACCCCCATAGGCAATGTTGGGGAGAACAAGGGGTCACAAGACCAGTCAAGCAAAGCAAAGCAAAGCAAGCTCAGGGTGGATCACAAAGTCACCACACATTCCGAGCACAAGTTCAAGGCCACAAGGCCAGTTCACATGCAGGAGTACATATATATATAAGGCTAGACAAGCAAGAGCAGGTATATATATATGTAACAGTACAAGCAAGGTCAAGAGGTGAGCAAGTGAGGCAAGACAGGTACAAGACCCAGCTGGGTGCAGAAGCGCTGATGAT